TAATTATCATGCAAATTAGGTAATTAATATGCACGGATTTTTACCAAAAATTAATCAAATCTGCGCATATGTTCAGAGCATCTATGTACCAAGTTTCATCAAAATCCAATGAGTGGTTCTTTAGATATCAGTGGAACAGTCATAGAACAGCTAAAAATTAGCTAATTATCATGCAAATTAGGTAATTAACGAGCATGGATTTTTACCAAAACCTAATCAAATCTGCGCATTGGCCCAGAGCATCTATGCACCAAGTTTCATCAAAAACCGATGTATGGTTCTTGAGATAGCAGTGGAACAGTCGGACACACATACACACACACACACATACACACATACACACATACACACATACACACATACACACACACATACAGACACACTAACTGCAAAGACTCCCATTTTGTGCTTCGCACATGGGAGTCAAAAATGATTAGAACTCACTGACTCATCTCATAATAAAAATAAATATATAACCAAAGATACACTCATTATAAGAGCATTAGATTTTACACAATATACTTACTTATAATCCTTCTGTAATCGTAGTGCAGCTATCGCTGACGCCATCGGTTTCAATGTATAGCTTTGTTTAGTTGGTTCAGATACATTAACACTGTAACATACCAAAAGGTGCACATTAGTAAGATGATACAAGAGATTACTGTCAGTATCTTTGAAAGATCTGATGTCATACATGTGTGGATGAATTATAAAAATCATCACAAGCTTCAAATGATGTCATATTATTTATTGTGTTCATTGGAAAGCACATAAACCATTTTTATTGGAATTTTACTTTTGAAGTAAAGTATGCCCTCTATGGCAATAATAAAAGTTTACTGTTGCCGTGAATTTGTTTTGTACATCTAAATTATGCAGATACTTATATTAAAGAATGAAATAGGCGTATATTTTCATTACTATCACTCAGATGATTTACTCTCCTAAACAACCACATACATTATAGGTTCACAAAGTATAGCCAAATTTTGATGATGGTCCATAAGTCAATACAAGCTTTACTGAACTGCACAGTACCCTGGATCTTCCTATTTTAAATCATATATCAAAGTTGAGTGAATGTGACAGCATATTGCAAATAGTGTTATATGTATCATATATAATAGATATGTAGCAAAGACACTAAAATTGAGATTCCAGATTAATTGTTTTAAGAGGTAACCCCCTTAATTGCTTCTGATTTTACGAAAAAATAATTTTCACCAAAAGAGAAGACGGTAATAAAAGCACTGCATCAGAGCTGCCTCATTCCAAACTATTTATATATATATTAATTTTTGATATAATGATTTTTTTATTTTACTAATATTATTTTAATCATTTAATTCTATTTTTAATTGTATCTTTACATCAATATTCCAAAGTGAATATGATTACAATCGTGATACTATCATTATTATTATTACAAATTACCCACTTGAGCCCTCTATGGCAGGTTTAAGGAAACATCACAAAGGCACACTTCAAATAAGCTGAGACTTTACCAAGCTTCTTTTTTTCACTCTGGGCAATACAATTTGGCATTAAGGAGTGTGAATTGACTCACCTGGCTAAATCCTGTACATTGAAATGCTGTAGATAATCTTTAATGTGGTTGGCATCTGACAATACATGCTGTCCGGTATCTTTGGCGATATTAATCATATCTTCAATAGCAGTTGGATTACGTAGGTTGTGTTTACTTTGTAATAACAAAGCTATTAACACTGATACAGCTATACAGCTTGCCTGACATCTGAAAACAAAGTATATTTGTATATGAAATAAATGACAAAGGTGCAGGATATTCAAATCTTGATGTTTTTCACGTGTCATTCGTGTTTCTGTAGTTATTATTACGAGTATTAAAACCATAACAACCAATTATAAATTATGCTATTGTTTCATCTTTAATTTCAATAATTGTTTTGAAACTAAATATAGGTAAAGATGTTTTGGAGGTACAATGTATGTACACAATCATGCAGTACCGGTAGGATGCCGTAAAGCCCTTTAATATCACAGACGAATTTTCATGAATTTCAAGTCAGTGAAATTTAGTAACAGTAAAAATTTCCTTGGGGTTCCAGAATATTGAGTCTCAGTGACTTTCACGAAATTTAATTGTTTCAAAAACTCCATAAAAACCTTAAATTACCAAAAATTTCTATGGCAAAGACAATTAAACTGTTTACAGTATGTATTTACACACAAAATCACTTTCAGTTTTTCAGATTTTTGATGACATATTTTGTTTGGTGACCTAGTTAAATTTATTGAAAAGTTGTCCAAGCTGTTGCATTATATTTGTACAAAGAGATGCTGAATTGTTACAGGTATAAAAACATTCATTTACAAAAAAAGAGCATGCCCCAATTTTAGAAATCATGCCCACTTTCACAAAACTACAGTCAAATTATAACTCAATGTTCAATTCAATGTCTACAGGTCCCATGCTTGGTCAACTAAATTAAAGTTTGAGATGTGGACGTTAAACAACAAAAACAATTAATGATGCCTGTGACTTACAATTTGCTTAACTCTCCATAATTAAACATCCAGTTATAATTTAGGCATGGTTTTGAAAAAGCGGATGTGGTTTTCTAAAATACAGGCACGGTCATTTTATAACTCTATGTGTTCGTAACTTGAACAATTCAGTTATGGAAATAGAGATACCATTTTGTTGCTGAACAATTACTTTAGGGGTTGCGCATTAGAAACTTGGAGAGGGGGAAGGGGGCTATGCACGTAAAAAATTTTTTTCCTACACTTAGTTTTGAGGTAGATGTTTTTTGTCAAAATATTCTCAAATATTTTTTTTGGTCACCCTTATCAAATGAGTGTTTTTTTTATGAATTTAGTTCAATTAAAATTTTTTTCCAAACCCCCAGAATTTCTGCCAGTCAGCCACTTATAACAGTTTGAACCATAATATCAAAATATCAAGTGTGATTCGTCTATGAGGCATGTTACAAAATTTAAATAAAATTTTTACAATTGCAAAATCGTTTCACGGTCAGAATTATCAGTCTGCCACTAATGTAGGTATTAATGGCATGTTTTATAGAAAACAAATTATTTTGTTAACGGTGAAAAAATTCTACACCTTGGATCCCAATGAGTTGCCTTGCAGATACGCTGTGCATTTTGGGTAACTTCCTTCAAGTCATGAAACTGTAGGAGACCTAAAATGGCCGTTCTGACAATAGCACCGTTGTCAGCAAAGTAGTCATGGCAACCGGATTCAGCTTGATCATGGAATTTGGACCATACTATTCTAGCAGCATTGTGGGGATCTTGCAAAAAGCCACAATCAGAAGAGACAACCTAAGTCAAGTAAACAAAAAATAAGATTAGTTTTACTTAAAACAAGCTACAAGCTTAAAACAAACCTCATCTCTCCTTGTACTTAGATGACATTTTGTACAAAATCTATTAGAGTATGTGTTTTGATTTCAAGATGATTCTAGCACTAGTATGTCACAAACATTTTAACTGGACAATGTGCATTTGTGATGTACGCAGAATTTCTATTTTCATCATGCAGAATGGTTGCTAGTCAGCCATCTTGAATTGGATCGTGTGCACAAATCATCTATGGGCAAGAGCACAATATTATGTGTTTCAAATTGGGCAGTGTGAATTTGAGATATAAGCAAAAAATAGGTGATCAAAAATGGCTGCTGGTCAGCCTTTTGAATTATTGTTGGACGGCGACCATATACCATAGAGGGCAGTCATTTGTCATTTGTTTCCCATACCCTGTTGCAGCAACTGTTTTCCTCCAAAAACTTTAGTGGACTTGCTAGAGCAATATCAATGATAATAACTGATCAATCAAGAAGGGAACTAATCATACAGCTTTTTACTTTTATAGGAGTGTATGTGGCTAAGATAGTGTTCCTATGATCTGCACAATTACCCATGAGCTGTTTGTTAAACCGTTTCTGATTGGCCAATTTAAATGATCATGAACAACCCCTAGGATATTTTGAAGTGTGTGTTCTTGTAGGAATGAATGTGAGAACTATGGTTATCACATACTTTGGCAATGGTATTGCAGACAAGATTTGGTCCATAGTCTCCTAGCTCGGCAAAACCATGGTAACACCAATATGACAATCTCTGTGCAAAGTCCAGCTCATCCATGACACCAGCCCAGGCAACTATGGAATCTAGAACTAAAGCCTACATGTATAATGACAATATTAGCATAAATACCAGCTTTAATATTTTGCATAAATATTAAGAAATCTTGGAATTCTGTTGTTTCTCACTTCTCTTCATGCCTTTGTGTGGTTTGCTGTATGTTTAATACTTTTATTGCAAGATAACAGTTACATACAAGGTTGTTTGTATCCTTCAAAATGCTATATATCACAAACAAGTTTTAGACAAGATTATACATTATATATATATCAGTATACAGACAGACATACAGACGGACAGACAGACCCAATTAGAACTGCTGGGTATGTCAACTGATACAAGTCATTGTCAATGACACGTCCCCGTTCCGTTCATATTTGAGTGACATATACATTCAAAGCAGATCATGACCGAAATGCACCTGCATATGTACAACACATTGTGCTAAATCTGAACAAAATCCATCCATGCATGACTGAGATCCGGTTCTGGAATTGTGAAAATACGTGATTTTGATGCATTTTCGGCCTTAAAATGGCCATCATTCAGCTATTGTTAAGCAGATCATGAAACAAATGCACATATCTATTTGTGACATGATGTACCATGTGTGTGTGAAGTTTGAACTTGATCAATCCAGACATGTCTTGGATACGGATCCAGAACTGAATTCTTTAAAACAAAATGGCCGCCAGTCGGCCATTTCGAACTTGATCCGAAAAAAAAAAGACGTGCATCAAGGTCCTATTATGTTTAATGTATGTACCAAATTTGAACAAAATCCATCCATGCATAACTGAGATACGGGTCCGGAATGGTGAAAATGTGCGATTTCAATGCATTTTCGGCCTTAAAGCGGCCCCCATTTGGCTATCGTTAATGAGATCATGAAACAAATGCACATACATATTTGTGACATGATGTACCTTGTGTGTGTGAAGCTTGAACTTGATCAATCCAGACATGTCTCGGATACGGATCCAGAACTGAATTCTTTAAAACAAAATGGCCGCCAGTC